TTTGTTACATTACTTAATTAATTTATCAAAGAAAAAAAAAAAAAGTTAACTTCATTATTTTCAATGTAATATGATTATTCTTAGGCTAAAATAGATTGAAAAGATTGAAAATTTTTTTCTACTAGATGATAATAATGCTCAAATATGAAGATAAACACTTTGAATTTAAAATTGAATGCTTCGAATTTAAAATTGTGCTTTTTCAAAATTAAATTTAAACATTGAAAAAAAATCTCAATTATTGACATTATTGTTAACATCAAATAAATTTAATTTAATCAATAATTGTTATTGTTATTATCAAATAGATTTGATTTAATCAATAATTGTTATTGTTATCATCAAATAGATTTGATTTAATCAATAATTATCATTCTTTTTTGCACTTATTTTTTTCCCACAATTTTAACAAAATCATTTTAGAAGGGTGGGGGGGGGGAAAAAAAAGAAAAAGAAAAAACGAGACTTTAAATTAATATTCTTCAGGAAATAATAATGAATGTAACAGGAATTGATCATTCTGTAACAGTTCATACTGTACCTGGTGATAATTCGATCAAAGGATTTAACAGTACGATGTTTCTTGAACAGAAGAAGAATATATTGCGTAAGATTTTTTCATTAAAGAAAATCAGGCAAAGGATTCTTCATAACAAACATCTTGAAACATTCACCAAATATTTCTCATTGAATTGTTGTTTTATCCAAAATTTTGTTTTAATTTTAATTTCCTGTAATGTTGAATTGATTAAAATTATTTGATCATGATAGATACATTGTAAAGATTTTTGCTTACAGTAATTTGCTTACAGTACATATATCATATTGATAATTCTGATTCATTGATCTTGCATACAGTAAAATGTAGGAATTGTAATCAATCCATCTACAGTAATGCATTTCTAAAGATGGATCATGGCAATTTGTGCATCAAATTTTGGAATTTTCCAAATTTAGCAATTATAGCAAGTAAGTTAGGCCAAAGAATGCACTACAAATTAGGCTAATATTAAGCCAAATAGTTAGGCCAAATATTTACTACCAAATCGTTGCCAGTTTAAATGAATAATTTTAAATTGCATGAAAAAATATAGAAATGATCAGGTAGCAATTGGTTGAAATTAGCGCAAATATTCATCTACCAAAGCGCTTATTTAACCAATAAACGGAAAATTGCAGAAAATAACAAATCTATTGTATATATAATTAATTAAATAATTATTAGGTAAAGACGAAAATATCTATGCTAAAATGATAAAATCAATTAATTTGATTTATCTTAGAGAAATTTTAACATAGAATTGTCACCTTCAAAGAGCATATCGATCACCCCCAACTTATCGACCAATTCAATTAAAATATATCTATCTCATGAAGTGAAATAAAGAAATCATAGCGAGAAAATAAGATTGATAAAAAATATGAAATGAACTTTGAACTGATTATCAAACACATATTGAATATTTGGCCAAATATTTGCAACATTATGAAAATTTTTTTATTTACCAATACATATATATAAAAGAAAGAGAAAAATTAGTAAAAAGAATTGCAATCAGACAATGAATTATTCATCTTGCCTGCCTAAAATGTGATGATTATTTTGGCTTCCTATCAGAATTAATAATAATTATCAATTTTTAATTAGTAGTCAATTTTCTAGCATTATCATAGGTCAAACATGCAAAAGGCGAAAAATGGAAAATCTGACCTTTGAAAAATATTCGCCTCAAAAATGCCGATAGGAATTTATTTTTTGGATTAAAAAAAAAAAAGATTTTGCGATTTTTGGAAGAATCGATTGGATCAATTTAGATGTATTTCATTAATTAATTATGATATGTATATACTATACACCTTATTTGTGTAATACCTGTTTGCATGTATAAACAGCAGATATTTTATTTTTTCTTTTTCTTTTTTTTTGTCGTAGCAGTCATCTGGATGACAAAAAAAAAAAAGAAAAGAAAAAGAAACACAAAATGATAAGAGTGAAGGAAAGAAGTAGGAAAAAAAGAGAGGAATCTATGTATGACATTTTGCAAATTTCATATTTCAAATTCAAAAAATTAAAATTTCAAAAATTTTCAATTTGCAATTACTGAATTAAAAAAATGAATGGAAATAAGAAGAGTGTTAGCAAATTTTAAATTTTAATTTGATTATTTAAACAATTCTAGGCAATAGCTGATAATTTTATTGCTAAAATAATAATGAATAAATTTTCATTCATTTCTCGAAATCTTTCAATTATTTTCAAATGATGAAATATAGCAATATTGATTGATCGATTGATTGATTGATTGATTGCAATTGAAAAGATTCATTCATATGTATTTTTTATATAATAAATTTTTCATAAATAGAACAAATTCATGTAAAATTATAAATACATTAAATGTAAAAGAAGAAATAATTACATCAACAATTTTACATCACCGGGGAAATCCTTCTCAAATATTGTTTGCCTATGTTGTTGTTGACTTGGTGGACGTCTTGATGGACCATGTGATCGTAATTTTGTTATATTTTTTAAAGTATTAAAAATTGGTGGTGCATTAAGATCAAGTGCATATTCTTCCTGTGATATTTCATCAATCAATAATGGTGTATTATTACATTCCTCCAATGATGAAAGATCCTCTAATGATGCCATTGGTGGTAATTCATGAATGAGTTTTTCTCTGAAAAATAAAAATTTCTATAATTTTATTTTTGCTTTAACTAGATTTAAAAAAAAATCACTTCTTTATTATTCCAAAAAAATTTTTTTTTAATTTAAAAATTTAACTTTGAAAAAAAAGATAAGTATGAAAAGAAAAAAAGAAAAAAAAAATGAAAAAAAAAATCTATAAGGGAAACATAACAAAATTAAAAAATCATCCCAAAAAAGAAAAAATGATCTATGAAGGAAATAAAAGGAAAAAAAATCGAAAAATTAAAAAAATCAAAAAATTACTTTTCATTATCCAAAAATTCCAATTGTTCCACAAATAATTGTCGAGCAGTTTCGAAATGTTCATTTGATGGTTGCATTTCCTCCTTTACTGAATCTTCATGCTCATCAATTAAGCGTAAATTTTCAACGATCTATAAAAGCATTTATATAATATTCAAAATAAAAGGTATTAGAATAGAGTAAAAGACCAAAAATTGCATAAAGAAAATTAAAATTTAGGAATAGATTTTCTTTTTCTTCCTTTTTTCTTTTTTTTTTTGGTAAGAATAAAATATAAGGAAAATGAAATTAGGAAAATTAATCATAATTAAAATTTAACTTTTTTATTTCAATTTAAATTCTAATAAGTAAACAATTTTAAAATTGTCAGAAATGAATATATATATATATACCTTTTCACTGGCAGTTTCAAGCGAAACAATTTCAGTTAATGTTGAGCGGAATTGTCGTAATTTTTCTTCAATTAAAGCTTGTACACAAATAGCTTGTCGTTCAACATCACGTAATTGATCTTGTGCACGCAATTTTTGATTGGTACGTAAAATGCATGGCGCAAAAATAAGTGCCAAATTTGTAGCACCCATTTTGTTTACTGATTCCTAGAAAAATAATTTTTAATCTAATTAATATCTGAAGCAATAAATGACATACAATGTCTGTGGTACTTGATATTTTATTTATGGTACTTCTTTATTTATAATATTCAAATTAATATGGGTTACATTTAAAATATTAATGAAAATTGTAAGGATTATCGTAACATTGCTAGATATGCATTCCGCTTTAATTAATTTAATTTCAATTTATAAATATTGGAACTTGAAATTGTCTAATTATTATTCCTAGAAAAAATTTTTTATCCATTAACAAACATTGCCCAGCAAATTAATGATAAATTAGGAAATTTTAAAATTAAATTAGTTGAAGTTTAAAATTTTGAAAATAATTCAACAATAGACAGATGATAGTAAAGCCTTCTTTCCATTCATCATAACTACATTGATAAGTTTGTGAGAAAATAATGGAAAACTATATTCTATCATAAAATAATTTGCTAATGAAGGAATATGAAGCTATGGAATTTAAAAATAAATAATTTGAAATTTCAAATTTTACAAAGTAAAAGAGTTAAAATTAATTTCGAACTTTTATCATTTTTATTACTTGTGAAATATTTATAAAATAAAATATTTATAGAATTTCTAAAATCGATAAAAATAAATTGATCTATTTTAGTAATATAAAATTAATTATTAAATAATATTAACTTACTTGATTAGCAACACGTGCTAAATGATACAGTAATCGTTCCAAAACACTTCTATTACATTTTGGTAATAATTCTACTATTACACTCAAACATCTTATTCGTTCAGCACTTTCTTGTACCTCTATAAATAATTCATACATTTTTCATTTTATAAAATTTTTAATTAAATAAGGAAAAAAAAAAAGATAAATGAAATTGTTATTATTGGAACAATTTTATTTGGAAAAAAAAAGATTTTTTTTCTTTTACCTGAGGCATTTAAAAAATTCTCATAGAGATCGTAACTGATAAGTGGTTCTGGAAGTTCACGGAAAAATGATTTCACTAAAGTTGTCATAACATGCGTTGGAACATCATCAAATGTTAATGTTTTAAAGTCTGAAAAAAAAAAATTCAAAATTTATTTTTTTACAATTTTGTTTTATCCATCAACAAAACATTGACCAGCAACTGTATTTTTTTTTTTTTTAATGGTTTACAATAATCCTTCTAAACTAAATTGTTTAAATGTTATGCGATTAAAAAGAAGAAATTATAAATAAAGTATTGAACCTTTGACATTTTTGATAAAAGAAATTAATTTCTTTCGTCATAAAAATCATGTTTTGATTGTTCTGCAATTAAAAATATGCTACCTGCATTTTCAATTTTTCAAAATATGCTACCTGCATTTTCAATTTTTCAAAATATGCTACCTCCATCTTTAATTTCTCGAAATATGCTACCTGCATTTTCGATTT